CCCGCCCACCACGGACAAATTAAAAGTTATAGCCCTTTGACTGGAAGTAAATATGCTGCAGTAAGTTCAGTCCGGGGAATCGTAAGTTGACCGAACGCGTGAACTAGCAACAACTAAAAACTAATAACTTAGCTACAGTTCGTTCCGAAACGGTTTGGCCGCGGTCGTGGTGCGCTTGCACTTACTTCGCAAACGCCGTTAGTTGCACGCGAAAATTCAACATTCAAAAGGCCAACTATACTGGCGCCGCCACGACCATAAACCTCTAGGCAAACAACATACTCGTATACATATCTATTTAATATATATATATGTATACATAGTTCGTATTACCTACCTACACGTGAAAAATACTTTTTGGTTTGTTTTAATTATATACGTTTCGCCGGACGCGTGTATGTTTATTTTATTTTTAATTTGCGTACACACACACACCTAACCAAACTTGACCTTTTCAATTTTACCCGTACATTATGTATTTAGGTACCGCACGTGGAATTAAAACGCATCGCACCTGTCCTCGTGCAGCGTAAATACGGCGTTTTCATCACGAGAAAAACGGATTTAACGTAGAGAAAATTCGTGAGCGACAAACGTTTTGAACGCTCGATAGTTTGAAACGTTCGTAATTTGACAGCGGCCGTTACCACGGTAAAACTATTATAATCAGTTAACCATTCTACGAAATATAATAATAATAACTCAATTAATCATTTAGTTATTAATAATATAAATTAATATTAAAAATAAACCGCGTAAATCGTTCCTGTTAAAATATTTGCACGTGACGTGTGTTTGACTACACCAGAACGCGTGTGCCGTTCTGGCTCGATCTCATCGAACTCTCTCGAACTCGTCTCGATCATCTCCGTCTACAAATCGCCAATATTAAATATTTACGAGCGTTTTCACACGCAGGTACTCGTACGAGACGGACGGAATTTCGAACGAAAAATCCAAACGACTTAAACACGCGAAAATACGCACACGGCCTGTATAATCGTGCGTCCTGTAAGCAACAGCATAGGAAGTAAAAAAAATTAAATGAAAAACAACAAAGTCCCGCGTATACACCACAGCGCATTAAGTATACCTACTATAATATTATCGGCCGTTCGACGTGAAATTAAATGATTATGGTATTCGGGCGAGGTAATTCACTGTTTTAGGATTTATACGCTCATAACGTAATATTATGTACGCGCGTTTAAACACGAGCACACGTGCCGCCGCAAAGCGGTTATTATCGCGAAACGAATTTTCGAAAGGCGAAAGCGTTTTGATTCTGTTTTTCCTCCATATGTTGAGACGATCGAGACCATCGACGGATGGTAATTTTTTACCGGATCGCAACAATATAATCATCTTTCCGGACCGTCGAAATTATGCGTATTTACCGCTCTCGCGAATTTCAGTCGAATCGCCGTCCACTATAATCTCGCGAGATACCGGATCTCCGAGAGAAGGCCGAATAGAGAGGGAGGAGGAAGAGGTCATACCGAAGGATACATGTGTATATATAGTATATACGAATTTGGGAGATATGAAAAATCGACCGTGTAATTATATATATAGAGGTTGACAAACAAAAAAATAAAATACGGACGGACGTTATAAAACACCGAGAATGGTAAAAAAAAAAAAAAGAACGCGGAGATTTTTATTTTCTTTTTAGTTACGCCTATTTTGCCGTCGTCGATCTCGTGGTCAGATAAAACTGTGTATAATATACGAACGGACCTCCTGCAGTACGTATATCGTGTACCTTTTTATGTATATATATATATTACAATGATTTCTGTCGAAAACGTCATATGCGCACCGTGCAGGCGGCTGTTAAGATTTATATAATAATAATAATAATACATAGTTGTACTGAAGTTTACGACGTGAGATACTTACGTCCGATAAGTACACCTTTATAACATTATCTGCTCGAGTTATCGCACGCTTATTGTAACTATAATACGAGTAATATAGCGAATTAAATCCCCGACCGGGGCAATAACGTAATATTATATTTCCTGCGAATGTTATAAATAATATTACATTAAAATTCAATAAGCATATTCAAAAAACGATAATTCATTTTCACGTTGAGAATTTTTCACTACTGCTGATGAATTGAAACAACATATTATACGAACCATTAAACGTAGAAAAAACACATATTTACATTTTTAAATTGTTCAAGGAAGACGAAAATGTCTCCGAAAAAAATTGAAAACAAATTCTATGTTAACAACTAGGACTCAGGACTTATTGCACATAAAATCCACAAAAAATTAAAGCTCTAAAATAAAACTTTTGAAAAATATTTTAAAAAGCAAAAACGGTAAAAGAGTTTAAATGTTCCCCTCTAATGGCTCTAACGTATTACATACAATTTTCTAATGTTATACAAATAATTAACTTAATTATTTTTCTTATAATACGCACAATTTTGTGTAAACAAAATTACTTTTTGTGTCGTGTCAAAAAAATGTATTTAATAATGTAGAGTTATTAGACAGAGGACCTTTAAACCCTTCTACTAATAATATTTTGATATTTTGAATAATTTTTGATTTTGTTCTGAGTGACGTAGCGGTAGATGTATCGGTTTTACAGCGATGATGTTTTTTTTTTTTTGTTGTTGTTGTTATAACTTGATCAGGGATATTTTATAGCATTATAACATTTTTAAATAATTTCTGTACTATATACGATTATCTATTCACGATTTACGAATACTAAAAAAAAATGTTATGGTTTAAATGATATTATGAGATCGATGATACTACTGAAGAAGTATTCAACATTCAAGTATAAACCATTTACAACGTCAATAAGAAAATAAAATGTGCAACACATTTTTTAACGGAGCTATAAATCCTATAGCTTTGTAGTCCTAAGTTCACGTGCCTCCCCGAGTTCTACGAAAATCCGATGTATTAACATGAAAAAAAAATTCCTAAAACTCTACCACATATCGACGCCCGCAATGAAGAAGGCGTTACTCTCTTTTTATCATTTTTCAGGAGAACAGTTTAAAGATTTCTGAGTTAAATTCTTATTCTGTATTTCAATTATTTAATATTTTACATTTTTGTTGCAAAACGGAAAATTGCTATTGTTTTTTTTTTTTTTAAATATTTGTAACTGACTTGAAGTCATATTTCGCTATTTTAGTTGACTTAAGTTCTTTTTAAATGGATAAAAAAATTGGATAAAACGTAATACTCGAGTTAATAATCATGGAGTACCGTCCCGTAAAATGCGACATTTGTTTCTAATATCCATACAATCTATAATTGTTGTGCTTATAAATATTATAATAATGAACATTTGAACTTCAAGTTTTAAGGGGTTTTCCGTAACCATTTTATATTCTATAATTCATATAGGAATAATAATTGCAATGGGTTGATTGCATACAATGGCTGCAATACAATTGTTATTTACTAAACCGCAAGTATATACGACAGGTTATTATAAGATTTTAAAACAAATCAAGGAATTTTATTGCAAGGTCGACAAACTTTTTGCAAGCTTTATATCCAACAAACCATTTACGTACGAGTTTGATAACTTGCTGGCGCTCTTAAAAAGCGTTTATTGCAATAAAGAAATACATTTTTTTTTTTTGTAAATCGTGTACAAAAATAATTTATCTTAGAATAATATGTCTCTATCTGGATAGAAACGATACTTTTTTTTTATTAAAATCCTTTTTCTTCATCGAGATGCATTTACACGAATTGCCATTTTTTCTAACAACATTTATATCCGGATAATTTTTTAGTTATCTAATCCGAACACTGCTGATACAGGCAGGCGCCTATAAATTATAATAACCCACGCGTACCTATCTATACGGAATATACATACATTATGTACCTTTATCGCACAAACATGGACTATATAATTTGTATTATAGAAAAAAAAAAAAGACAAAAAAACAGCCGAGCGTAATATTCGTGCGGTTAATCAATCGTCGTGCCCGCGGAATAGACGGGTCTCGGCGGCGGCGGTGTCCCGTAGGCGAAGAGGGCGAACGAGATCGTGTTTTTCGCGCCGAAATCACGCGAGCCACAGAGGGTTGATGATATTATTATTATTATATACACGTCACGGCAAAGCGGTAAACTATATAATATAACGTAATGTATAATATACTATCGGGAGTTAATCGAAGCGCGCAAACCGTTTAATTCGAAATTATACACGCCGCGCCGCCGCGATCCGTAACGGCGGCGACGAGGTTCGCGGTTACCCTCCGGTACGGTTCTGGACCGGAGAAGAGAAGAAAAAAAAAACAGAAACCACCTCCGCGAGCGGTATACGATAGTTATATACAAACAACAACAGAAAAAAAAAACACCGCGCTGTACCTATACATAATAATATTATATTTATATATATATATATACGGATTAAATTCGGTCGTCATTATCGACACGATATGGGAATTCTCTATGTAATATAATAATAATATGGAAAAAAAATTATACTATATATACTCATTCGATCGAGAAATTCGAAAATATCTCCCACACGCGCGTGGCGGAGGCGGACGAGGTCGATATACGAAATAATAATATTATTATAGATGGATATAGGTGCGTATTACGTGCGTTTTTTTTTTTCTTGTTTTATTTTTTTCACCAATAATAATTTATTGGGGTGTGTGTGTGTGTGTGTGTGTGGATTATTCACAAAAAATATTCTAAAACACAGTCCGTCAGAGATCGCTTCTATATCTATTATCGCGTGTTTCGTTTTCTCCACGGATGATGAACCGTTTAGACGCGATATCCACACGAGGCATCTCAAGAATGTGTAGGTACCTACATTATAATATGTTAAACACGCGTCTAAAACGTATAATTATTATTACACGCGCCGTTGTCCGGTAGTGTGTGTGTGTGTGTGTGTGTATATATAGAAACCTAATATACCTGAACCAAAAAAAAAAAAGGTTATATTCCTTTAATTTTATATATACCATATAAGTAGGGTACAATTATACGGGTACAACTGCGGGGTTATTAATATATACCGCGGGTTTATTAATTGTAATAATAAGTGATTTGGGTATTTTTTAGGAATTTGAAATAATCCAAATATCTTAAGCAGAGCGATTTTTTTTTTTTATCATGAACCAGTAATTATCCCGGAAGATTTTAAGTAAATTTGATTTCTGCTATTTTTTTAACCATTTTCGAATCTTTTAAGCTTTATTTTAACACTATTTTTAATTTATTACTCTTATTCCTTATACATGAAATTAATATTTATTTTCGATTTTGTAATAGCAACCTTCCTTTCAATTACAAATTCAAATAGAGAATATGTTTCTATAAATTTTGAAATGCATAACACTATAATATCAGATTTACCATTTATGAGTTATAACTTATAACTTATAACCGTTTAAGGTTAGGCTGGAGGAGTAGGGAAGGATAGAAAATTGAATATCTATTTTTAAATGATAAATTAATAACCCTTCCCTACTCCTCTGGTTTAAACTTTAAACGCTTAGGTTATAAAATAAATAAATAAATCTAAATAACAATCTAATAATAAATCTGATGTATATATATTTTCCAATGGCACGAACATAATTTTTTTTTAGCAATAAACTTGTGTTTGGGGTTTTTTCGGTATCGTTATACAATACTATTGACGAGACATATGCCAATGTAACGCAATGATTTTGTGACTTTAATAGTATTCGACGGACGTATTGCATTTATTATGTAAACTGCAGTTCGAAGATGAACATAAGTATAGAGTGCAAAAGCCGAGGGATCGAATAACCCGCTGAACTGACAACATCGTCAATACGATCGTATACAAAAGTATACGATATTAAATAAAATTACTAATAATCACAGTAAATAAATATAAAAAAAAATAATAATAATACAAATTCTATTCACATCATAAATCGGGATATCGGGATATACAATTTTCGTCAACATTTTAAAACTTAAACACATATATTATGAAAAAACAAAATATTCATTCAGTACAGATTTTCGATATTTATATAATGTTACAAGAACAGCATTTTTGATAAACCTTGTATCAAACTTTCAAGCATTTTTAACTAAATATGAAACAAAAAACCCTAAAATGTCAAATAGTTATATAAAAAATATAAAAACATATTAAAATGTTTGAAATATTGTCCCACGTCTAAAAAGGTTAATATAATTATTTGGTGAAAATTTCAGATGCCCATAATTATTTTTAACATAAATTACAAAAAAAAAAAAATAGAAAAAAAAATCGATAATTCGTAAATATTCTCAATTTTCCGCAAAAAGACTACAAGGAATATTAAAAAATGATCTCCTCGATACCTCGCAACTAAATTCAATTTTCTACTAGAAACCATTCCCGATATTAATCAAAGCAAAATTTCTAAAAGAAAAGTTATTTATGACAAATAGAAAAATAAAATCAAAAATGGATGAAAAATAGTAAATATAAATATATTGTGACATCTATTAAGAAAATAAATAAAATACACTGTACTTTTAAAATATTAAAATTTATATTAAAACCTACGGAAAATAAATAAAATAATATATAATATTACAAAATTATCTATATCGGCTTATATTAATGCGACATGAATTATTCATAGAAATAATTATATACTATGACCATGATTTTTTTTTGATGATAAACTAATTTAGTGTCCATTTATAATGTAGTTATACCTTATATGCCTTTACATTCCTAAAAAAAAATAATATATATATACCTAACCACGTAAATCATTTTTATATTAATAATTGTAATACTATAATTTTTCTCTCGGAAAATTATTATGCCCTTCGATAGGACATAAAAAAAAACGTTCGACGCATGATTTAAATACCATCATATACTTTATTTCACTATAAGCAAAAAATGACAGGTAAGTATGAAATATAATAATATGTACTTGTACACGAATTTTCTATAACCGGTCTAGCAGTTTAAAAATGAACACATTTTTTTTTTCATCTGCATTCCGGAATTTCAAAACCGAACTAATATTTACAAAAAAAAATATGCTGAGAATGTGCAGATATTTTAGACGAAAATTATTATAATAATATGAGTGAGAGAAAAGCTTCTCAGAAATATAAAAACGATATACAGATATATGATGAATGACGAAAATTAAACGACGTCGTTTATATAAATTACATTAATCGATTCTTACAAATTAAAAAAAAAAAACTGATTGTGCTAATGAGTATATCACTATTTTAGAAGAAAACTTGGAAGAGAGGATAGAGTAATTTAATTTGTATCTATACACAACGGTAAAACATTGTTATCGAAAAATGGTTCTGAGCAGAGTATTAATTGTATTTTGTTCCTTGATGCAAAAGTAACTTATAAATCAAAAAAAAATAAATACATATATATACAATTGCTGATGTTTTATATGATGCTTTTAAGAAAACAATTAAAACAAAAATGACCTCCCCAATACACTTTGATACGAGCAAGATTTCGTGTAAAAAAGTGATTACAGACACACAGATAAAAAAAGAATTATAGTAAAATCAATACAATACCTTCGTTTAACTCAGAAGTTAAAATACGTCCAATTAACAATATCTTTTAACACAATGAAAGTTTTACATTAAAACTTAAATAATCCATAAAAAAAAATGTATTTTAAAATGTATTATAATCATTATAGTCATACATTTGTAATAAAAATCGACTTCTGATATTGATTATTCAAATCAAGTGCCTATATTTCAGTAAGATCCACAAAATCCGAATAATAATTCAACAATTAGACAAATACGTTATAACAAATTTATTAGTGTTTTATTTTTAATTGTAAATAATAAAGTTTCGTGATTATTATCAATCAATATCAAATTGATAATTACATCGCCGCGCAGCCGCCGGCGGGTATTATTAGTTTTTTGTTTTTTTTACTTGTCGCGATTTTTGTGTCCAAATATATAGGTACGAGTTTATTAAATGATACAGAAAAAATATACAATGAAAAAGTTTCAACTTTTAAGTTTAAAACGTAAATTAGTTTTAAAATAATAAATGTTTCCATGGTCCATTTAAAAGTAATTTCGTAATATTTATACCAACTATAATACTAATATAATATACACCATTAAAAAAAGTATGTAGCAAAAATTTGTTTTATTTAATATAATAATTCAATGGAGTTCATAATAAATTGTATGTTTCTTTTCTTAAATTGTTTTAAAATTTAGAATTATAAACTTAAAAATTTATTAAACAAACATGAATCATAAATAAAATTAATAATGAATTAAAACAAGGCTAATACTGTGTTAAGAGGGAAGTTTAAAAATAAAAGGCAAACGATAAACCAGTGTGAAGGAAAAACAGTTCTGAGCATAGTATTATTAGTCATATTTTTTTCTCTTATTTCCAAGGTAGTCTAAGTAATAAATACAAATTATGCAAAAAACTGTCAAATTTTCTCATTTATTAAGAAAACTACAACGAAAATCAAAAAATAACCTTGTAATACATTCACTAGATAAACAATTCTACAAGAAAGTTGCTATAAAGTTTTTCATTGGCCCTCGATTTCTGGTAGAAAAGTTGTTTGTAGACACAAGAAAAAAAATAAAACGTCATAGTAAAACCAATATATTCCTTGCTTTGCTCAGAATCTAAATAGAGTGTTTTACAAAAACATTTATCTATACTAATAATATTATAAAAGATTTGTTTGTATGTTTGTAATAGATAAGCGCAAAAACTACTTATCCTATTTTAAAATTTCTTTATGATATTATGATTATATTTCTATTATTTGTTGTCTTTGTCAGTTCTAACTTTATTATTAACCTTTTAATAAAATAAAAATACCAAGTAATAGGCTAGGTTCGGCAATAATACAAAATTGTGTTGTTTTATTTCAATGATGCTTTAAAATTTACAAGACATCAATACTTACATGTTTTTTTTTAAATCCGCTTTTGACCTATCAAACAGAAAGATAGGATATAAGAACATTATATTCTGTGTTTGATGATTTTTTTCTCAAAAATATTTCACAAAAATTCTTTCATCTTACATGAAAATTAAAATTACGAAAAAAAAACCAACGTATCCTAATATAAATTATGTATTTTTCACTTTAAGTTTATTAATAGTTTAATTCAATCCAATATTTAAACTAACAACACAAAACTGGTACTGTTGAACGTAAAATTTACTACGTCGTGCTTTTGTCAGGAGACGAGATGAAGACGACAAAATTGCATGTATTCGTTTTAATATTATTATACTGACAAACAGTATTACGAGTATCTAAAGATAAATTTTCAAATATCTTGATAAAGATAAATAATTGGCAACTTTTTATTTGAATAAAAAAAAAAAAAAAAAAAAAAAATAGTAATCCGGTCCATTTACCTATCACAAAACTAAAGACATCTAGATTTCAAAAAGTTATTTGATTGTTGCAACTACATAATTCATTTATTTAACTAGGTTTTTGAACATAAATCAAATATTTAACCTATTAATTTTAATAAATTATTTACGTTAAGGTTTACAAAGATTTATCTAGAATCTAAAATTTAGATTGAACCATTTAGATTCTAAATGGTTCAATTGTTTATTTCAGGTAAATAATAATGCTCAGATAAATTATTTCTTATTTATATATATATATATATATAAGATAAAACAAATAAAACAATTATCACTCTAGATAAACACAATACTGCCTACGATTTTCACCTATTGTTATTATTATTTTAGATTCTGAGCTTGGCGTTTTTATTTTTTGTTAATAATTTACTTAATTTTCTGATTTGCAACGCACTCATTTATATACTATATACGTTTAATATGTATTGCATTTTTAAGAAATAATATTAAAATTTTAACGTGAAAAAACATAATAATAAATAATTTGTATTTTTTTACATTAAGATGCTAATAAATAACCCAATAATAATTCTTTCGGTACAAATTCGATGTACATAAATTAAAAAACCATTAAAAACTCAATTACAAAGTCAATTTATTTTTGAAATAAATTCAATTCACTATATGTACACATATATATATATATATATATAGATGCGTATACACATATATAAAAAAGATAAAGATAAACTCTATATCTCATTAAAAAAAAAAAAATTAAAATAATTAGATTCTCGAACTCTTATAATTCGTAGTATAAAACCCGTAATGTATACATAAATATATAGGTATAC